CTACAGCGTAAACAAAGCAAATTCTACCGCGACAGAAAACTTTGCACAAATGAAACAGCAGAAAAAATTAGTAATACCTTTTAAGGTACTACTGTATTAAGATTAGAGGAAAAAACAACACAAGTACTTTATTCGAAAATTGCTCATCCAAGTTTCAAGACGTTCACATCGCTAAATTAATAATAACAAATGACTACCAAAGGGGAAAAAATTCTTTTTATTGATATACTATTGAAGAAGTTGAGAAATTATACCGAGACGATATCAAGAGGCTTAGGCTCATCTCTTTCGGAAGGGGTACTGGCAATTGTCACATTTTTTCCAAGGCTAGAGTTGAAAGGGGAAGCCACCAGAGCAGCAATTTTCTTGGAAGCATATTCCAGATGACCAAACAAAACCACCAAGTCATCACCCACATCAATCCCTCCTTTACCAACATACTCCATCAATGTACAAAACTCACTACTCTGATCAGAAGAAGCTGCAGCAGAAGAAGCATCAACACCCATATTTGCAGCGACCCTGCTCAAGTTCAACCCGCCAAGAAAAGATGGAAGGGAGGCCATTCTGCTTTTGGGTTGAGCAATATCGAATTTTGGCGGGAAAAGATGGATTCTTGGGGAGAAATTGGAGTTGGGTTTCAAGGATATCGTGGAAGATAGCATGTCCTGCAGCAGTTGTTGGTGAAACTGGGAAAAAAAAGGCGTCTTCGGACCGAAGTTTGGACGGATAGGAACATGCGGTCGATGACTGCCCAACTTGGTTAAATCCAGTTTTCGGTTTCTGACTTTCTGGTACAAAGCCACGGAAAAGGGGAAAAAAATCCAAACAATAAAAAGAGAAAAACCGATTTCCAAAAAAAAAATAATAATAATAATAATCTGATCCTTACTCGTTACTTGGGTAAGCAACAATGTAGCATGCAAATCCATATGCGATAGCTTTTCGTTACTTTGGCTATCACATGTCTCGTTGGTGGGAAGTCAAGAGTTCAAATCTTGACTTTCATAAAAAATTGCCACTTAATGTGGTTTCTCTAATATTTATATGAGTGTTTAATGCAGTTGTATGGTCCGATATTGATTCAATTCCTGTCAATTTCTCGTGATTCTGTTGGATCGTCTCCTAATATAGGATTAGGAGTGGGAGTAGATATACTTGGTGATAACGGACCAAAAAAAAAAAAAAAGAGAGATAGCTTCTTGTAGTTGGACTTTCCTGAAAACCGAGAGTCCAATCAGAATTTTTAAGCTTCCCAATTCGAATTCGATTGAAAGAAAACAGGAATCTTCCTAATCCTATTTAATACTGATAAAAAGAGAAAAGGAAACTTACCAACATAATAAGGAAAGACGAATGAGCTGTTTAGATACTTCGCCATCAACCGCACTAGGTTAAATTTCACTTTATGTAGATGTCATGAAGCAGGAATTCAAGCAGAAGAAGTAAGTTAAAGACGTGATTTTCAGCAAAGAAGTCGTGAAAAGAAAAATAGAGGTCGTGATAGAAGATGTGGAAGTAGAAGCAGTCTTTCTTTGGGAATCAACTCAATAAACGTGATTGCAGCAACAGTAGTCCTATAACAGATTTCTCACTAAACCTCTGTAGGTGGCCAGGGAGGGGAAGACGATGATGGAAAAGGCAAGGTTAAGAACAAGAAGCCGAGAAAGAGCAAAGGAACCAAGGCATAATTATGTAACTGGCCTGTTAAACAAATATAATATTATTGCTCATCTTCATGGTATTCAGGAAACCTTGGTAGATGGCTGCAGCGGAGGGATAACCTTTGGTTTTCACCAGCAATGAGGAAATTATTTTCGGAGTAAAAATAGTGATAAAAGAGTTCATTTAACAAACATGCTCAAATGCATTGAAAGAAGCTTGGACCTCATTACCTTTACATTTTTTTTTTTTTTTTTTGTATCCAAGCAGACAACCTACGCTAGCATCAGTCTTGTAACAGCTGCCGATTCCTCATTAATGACATCTTGGCTTGTTCTTCAACGAGTGAAAAAAAGAAAAAAGAGCCTAAAATTCTTCAACTTTTATGTTGTTCGAGTATTACTACTACTATCTATGATTTACTATTTAAAATATCTTTGGTATTGTTTAGCTTCTGAATTGTTTATCTTCGTAGTTGTGTTACCATATGGACTTGAGGTAGCTTGTGTGCCTTTTCAAGTCATCGAGATTAATATGCCTCGTAGAATAGTTGCTTTGGATTGTGATCGAAAAGGTTCAGTGATATAGGTCGCAGAAAGCTAAAAGCATGAATGCAGGCAGAGCACAAACTGAAACTGGGTTCTTATGCAATTTACTGAGTAGGAAAACAGACAAATTAACCATTGACTGATATCAGCAACTGCGTTTAAAAAGTTAATGGTTTTCCATCACTGCGTCTGACCACCAAGAAAGTATCATTGAACGTACACGGTAACACAGACTCACAATTTTCAGGTTCTGATCTTGTCTCTTTTGCTCGTCTTTGCGAAACGTGAACAATACAAAAACACATAACTCGAAAAGGAAAATTTTCTTGTGAAGTTTTTCCAGTCCAATCCGGCAAAAGGAGATGCTAGTAGCCTACTATGCTCTTTAGTTTTGCTGTTAAATATGATTCAACCTTGTAATGAAGTGAACTGACCAGTAAAAAAAAAAATCATTAGTCATGAGCTACATTAGTCACTTTGTGACAGGACCAAATGGACAGAATTTTCTTCTGTTGGTTTGCACTTTGAAGGAGTCCTGAAATCTAACATTGACAAGTAAACTTATCTCGGTATATTTTAATCACTTGCCGACTATGTTCCTTCCCCCCAAAGAAAAGCGCAAAAGAAAAATGGTGAAGATGCATCAAACCTGTTCTTCCGTGTCAAATTTTTCATTTTAGCTTTAGCCAACGTTTTGCTCCAAAAGTCAAAAGAGCGCACCCAAAGATACTTGTAGTAGGTATAGAATGCTAAATGATTGGATCCATCTCTCTCTCTCTCTAGTCTATGTATAAGCAAATATACTTAAACCTTTGAAACCCTATCTTCATAAAGCCTAGTCTGAGTTTGTGGGGTATTTTCAGTGTTAAGATGGTACTGCAGACATTAGACATTGTAAAGAATGAAATTCCAATAGAGGAAGAATCAGTAGTTATAAGTGAAGATACTAACGCTGGTTTAGTTCTTGTGGACATCATCAATGGCTTCTGCACTGTCGGAGCTGGCAATCTGGTACCTATTGATCAGTCCTTGTACTCCTTTAGACACTTCTCTTCTTCTGTTTTTTTTTTTTTCCGTTACCAGGATTTTTTTTTTCACAAAAAAAGGAACTTCTCTTCGTTGTTCAGTGATCTGTGTACATATCCAGATTTCGGGGCTCATAGTACTCATTCATAGTTGTACGTATTCCTATCTTGTTTGTGCGTGTTTTGTTCAGGCCCCAAGGGAGGCTAGCCGGCAGATTTCTCAAATGATCGATGAATCAGCAAAGCTAGCTAGAGTCTTCTGTGATAACAAGTGGCCAGTTCTGGCCTTTCTTGACTCGCACCATCCTGACAGGCTCGAGCACCCGTATCCCCCTCACTGCATCAGCGGTACAGATGAGTCCAATTTGGTTCCTGGTATGGTTACTGAATCAAGACTGGTCATGTATAATTTCCCTTTCTGTTTGATACCAATATTCAAAACATTAAATCGAAGCTTAATCTGAGAAATACTACTGAAACAACTTCAATTTCAAACTCGTTGGCCGTGGCCATGATGTCATTTGCATGTATGTTTGTTTGCAGCTTTACGATGGCTAGAGAAAGAACCAAATGTAATAATCAGGCGTAAAGATTGCTACGATGGTTATATAGGCTCATTTCAGGAAGATGGTTCGAATGTGTTCGTCGATTGGGTTAAGAAAAACAACATACAAGTTGTAAGTGTAATATCCCAATTGAAAGTTTGGAAGGATTTCTCATCACCGTTTTGCTACTCAAGACATAACTTATCAAACATGATGAATTTAATCTGACTGATATAATTTGTGCCCAGCTATTGGTTGTAGGGATATGTACAGATATTTGCGTGCTGGATTTTGTTTGCTCGACTTTATCAGCTAAAACCCGAGGTCTTCTTACGCCTTTGGAGGAAGTGGTGGTGTACTCTCGGGGATGCGCCACCTTTGACTTTCCAGCTTCCATGGCCAAAAACGCCAAAGACGTGCTTGCTCATCCTCAGGTATTTTTACAAACGCAGTCTTTTATTCAAAAGCATACTCCATATGACCCTTCTCGGATAACAATTATAGATTCTTGATATTCTCACTCTAAATTATTCCTAAGAATTTCAGCAGATATTGTTGAATTTCTCGTCTCTTTGACACTTATACCTGCCCCACTTATGGTGCTTCCTAAGGATTTTATGCTGACCAATGCGTTCCTTAGCAGCTTTTCTTACTACTCTAGAAAATATCCGTGAACGAACTTACCTCTTCAGCTCCTTACCTCTTCAGCTCCCGGAGCTTCCAAGGAATATAAGCTTGACCATTTTCTTCCATGGCAGGAGCTGATGCACCACGTTGGCCTTTACATGGCCAAGGGAAGGGGAGCCAAGATAGCAAGAGAAGTGTCAATTGGTGCAGTCAAGAATGCGTGACTCACTACCGGCAACCCTTGTACTGCCTACCAAGGCGCCGCTACTCTTAATTGCTTTTGTTTGGCTATCATTTATACCACCCTTGTGCTACGCTCCTCGAAAAGCGTGTACGCTCAGAGACAGCGTGTGTTGCACCATTTAAGCTTCTTGTCGGCTATGAATGAGAACCATTTTCTTGTTGGATATTAACAAGACATGCATGCTAATAACCAGCTCTTGTACCCTCGGAAAGTTCCAGAGTATGGTCTGATTTGAGCCATTTATGACTCGTTTTTCTGGGTTGGACGTACGAATAATGGCTTAGAATAAATCCTCCACCGTAAAAAGCCTATTTCCACAAGGCCCTAGATCTGCAATCATCTCATACTGGAAATCTCTCGAACCACACGAGATCGTGTTTTGCATTACAGAACCCAAGACCAAATGAACAAAAAGGTGAGAATGTCAAGTTAGTTTAACCTGAAAGATGGTAGATTGCAACAGCATACATTTTTTTAGCACTTGAATGTCATAAAGATGAGGGATAAACATTAAAATTGCACATTCCTATTTACTAAAACTCCAGCCAAATTCCATTTTCAAATAGATATTCACATCCTATGTACATTTCCGGCATGGAAGCTAACCGAAAACCAGAGCGGCAACGCCCTAAGAAATTGCCGCACCAGAAAATTTGGGGACTCCTCGAACCTCTAGTTAAAAGTTCGGTAGTTAGTTTCATGATATTTCTCTGTCTCATAAGCGTCAGATGTATTCATCCAAGTCTTGCCAATTAGTTGAAACCATCCAGCTTTCTTTCTGCAGTGATACTCGAAGGACTTCATAACAGTAAAGATCATCTAAACTGCAAAACAAATATATATATATATATATATATATATATATATATATATATATATATACACACACACACACACAGAGATATATTAAAAGTCTTCTTTGCATCATCTGTCAGTGGAACCCATTGGCTATCAAGTGCATATGTGGAAGTTACAAAAAAAAAAAAAAAAAACTCCTGTGATGCTCAGTTGAATGAACCTACCCATCAGACTAGTAATAAGACTGCAAAAGCATGAACAGCGTCAAATCTATGTACAAGCAGACTTCACCGGTGCAGCCTCAGCCGATTGAAAAACACCAAAAAATGGAATTCAGGGGCCCAATACACGAACCCAACCACAGGCCCCCCTTTAATGTACTGCAAGGATTTGTTAAAGGAACATTTCATGAGTCCAACAGCTGAGGAAAGATACATTTTATGGAAAGATGGAAAATAAAGCAAATGCAACTGCAGAAGTTGATAAGCAACGGGAACCTTTCCATCCAAAATGACAAGTTCACCATCAACCCATCGAGGGTTGCGAAACCCAGGCTCAGCCAGCCTGCCTTGTCCCCTATAACGAGCAACCTACATCAACAGTACAGGTACGAATAACATAATACATGTACAATTAGAGTTTTTTTTTTAAATATTCTTTTGGGGTTAAGATGCAATAGAAAATAAGAATCGATGCACCATATAATCTGGTTACTAGTGTATAAGTATTGTACAATTGATGGAAAAGAAAAATCAAGTAAAAGAAGAAAGATAGTAAACAAATTGATTTTCTAAAAAGCAACATACCACCCCAAATTCTTCTGGAATTATCCCTTTGTGAGGGAGCTGATATCTGTTTCCAACTTTGGCACGGAAGGCTATCTGCAACGAGTATATGATAAACAGAAAAATTAGGATGCCACAATTTTTTTCAACTAAATAAAACACAAGCCTAGCATGTTGAATAAGTAATGAAAATCCACAAGCAAGTTAAGCAGCAAATGAGTTTTACATCACAGGGCATCCTTGGCTGATTAGAGCTCTTCCACATGGGGGTGAGCAGGATAGCCCAAAGCCCTCATCACCAAATAGACACACACAGTACACACACACATACACACAGAGCTCAAAACCTGAGCCAAACAATGTCAGACAGATAACTGGTATCAACAATAGAAAATTACCTGGCCAGCTGGCACATAAGGATCCCCCGTCAGTTTTACTGCCTCGACATATTCATAGAACCCAACATTGGGAGGCTCCTCCTTTCGGCCATCTTCTTTCCACTGACCAAATTTGCGCCTCAAATGGATAACCTCCGAAGTATAGAGCCCATGGGCACCTATATATAGTCCTGAGAAATGTACAACATGCTTTCTGAACTTGTCCAGAATGTGGCTAAAATGATGCGCTGAGAAGAGCAGAGCAACAAATAATGGAAAATTAGTATTTTAAACAGCAACACTATCCAGACTAAGTTACCATTCAATGGATCCTGATTTCCAGGGATATCAATGCGACTAAATGTTGTTGATCCAGACAGTGGTTGATGATTTCGAGCCTGATTAAGTGTGAGATTTATCAATTCACCAACATCCTTTAGCACCTGCTCATTGAGACAATCCTTAACTGCTCAGTTTGTCATTCAGAAAGCTTCAAAGATTCACAAGCAATAGATGGATAACAGTTTGTAGCCTAACCTTCATAGGTATCCGCCCCTTGCCAATGAACTTTGCAAGATCAAGCATCACATGGTCCACGCTGCGCAGACCTTGAAGCTTAGCCTTTTTGTTAGGTGAAGTATTTCCGTCACCACCAGCTATGCGTTTGTTGTCATCTTCCTCCTCTACAGTAAAGGTAAATGACAAGCGGCCCCGTTTCTCTAGCCTTGCTGGGACCCGAAGCAGGTCCTTTGGTTGGGAACCAGGGGAAAATTTTGACACCAAGCTTCCAACAACTACCTTAACTGCAATTTGACTCTGCTCTTCGCCATAAGGAATTCCATTATCAGCATTCAATACAATATTGTCCTCATCATCATTTTCATCTTTAACTTCATCATCAGCATCAGTACTTTCTAGCTCAATGTCCTGTTCTTCATCTTCTTCCTCAATTATTTGTTCAACGACCTTAGATATAAGATCCCTGTCAACCTTCCCTGGTGCAGTTACTTTCAGAACTTTGACCTTCACACCAGGGATCAGGTCTCGCAGGGTATTCTCAAGACTAGAGTCATCATCCCTCTCATCACTATCCGTTGAATCCTCAGCATTTTCTTCCAACAGGCCACTTCTGTCCTCAGTTGAACCGAGAGAATCAAAGTTACTGGTACCAGTTGATGTTTTGAAAGGAGGAATAGGAAAATCCAACGGAGCTTTCCTCCGTTTCAAGTAAACAGCCTGACATGCAAATTAAATTCCCAAAATTACATGTGAAAGAAACAAGATATCTCACTATCAAATTTAAATATTACAGAAGACCCAAATCTATCTACATGCTTCAGGAACATGTTTATTGAACTGAACAATGGCTAAGAAGCTGAATATCAAGTGAAGAGAAGGGAAAAAGGTATGGCATCCTCTTCGACTGCATGCATGTTTCTCAAACAGACACAAGAAAACTAAACTACTGTTCTCCAGCCTTTGATGAAGCATTAATATCAAATGCTACCAAACTTGCCCTAGTTATCCACTTAGTGGAGTAGATTTAGGCATAGAATGCATAGTTGCCGGTTTCCTATTATTCAGTGGAAAAAGATCACATCATCTGTCAGAACCACACCCCAAGCAAATAACATTCAGGTTTAAAACAACCACAATACTCGATGAGTATCATTGTGTAAACAATAAGCTAACATGGAAGTAAAACAAAATTTTATCTTCCTCCCTGCATGTGTCATGCATGCTGATAACTCCATGAACACATTTCATTCACCAAATTTTAGCTGGTAAAGAAAGGTACCTGCTGTTTGTATTCACCCTTCTTATTCATGGTAAAGAAAATCTCAAATAATGGGGCGCCATCCTTGGCTGTAGCAAGCTGCCTGACAGTAGAAAACATGATCCCATCAACATTCTCATACTCAATGAGTGAAATAAGCTAAAGCAAGCTTAATAGAAGAGTGGTTAATAGGACAGTGATCAACAGAACCAACGATCCAAGAAAGGGATTAAACAGAAAACTATATCACCATTAGATTGCTTCCTGCAGCTCAAAGGCTGGAGAAAGAGTGCATATTGACTGCTTACTAAGATCAGAGTAGATAACAATGAAAAAATGTGCCTTAAAGAGGAATGGTCAGACAGAGATCCTGCATCAACCACTTTTAACATCCTTAGAATTGCCAGCATCAATCAGACAATGGACTCTATGCTCTACCAAAAAAGTCCATTATATGGATGTGAACTACTTTGGACATCCCTCTGGAAAAAAGGATTCTACTGGTTTAACTTAGCCAAATACCAGGCTGCTCTCAATACATTTTAGACAATTAGATTAGTTTTGGGTTACTATTATTTCCATTTTTTTTGGGGGTTTGGGGTTTTTTTGGGGGGAGGGTGGAGCAGGTTTTTACTTGTACATTATTGACTACTCCATTAGCATCTTCCACATAAAATAGCCAATCAAACAGAGATCTAAACTAATAAGAATGTCTAGGCATAAAATTGCAAACTTCAACTCTAAAGGTGGTTTACCGTGGACTATAACTTCTAGCAACATATCGCCCATGCTCTGCACTTATGTGAATAATACAACCATAAGGATCATGAGTATCTTCTGAAATACCAGCCCACCACCCCACCTGAAATAGCAGGTCCAGTCAAACCACATTACAAAGGACAGAAAGCAATACACATGCAGGACAAATATAGCATGAGCTATTAACAAGAAGCAACATCGCTAAGAACTCACATTTGCTAGGGTTATCGGTCATGTAAGAAACAGCCTGAAACACATATATTCATGAGTGAATTCAACTCCATATGAGACACCATTGTTCATACCCGAGAGATTGTTATCAATGTGACAAAAAGGACACTTGGCTGATGATGTTCTCCTAATAACCTATTTTCAGATTTTTCGTTTCTTTCTTCATGGTATTTTCCTTACCTAGAAACTTCCAATATTAGGTCTGCAGCAACTCAGGACAAGACCAGACTTGGTTCCGGATCTGGATGTTTCAAGTGATTGGCTCTTAATACAGGCCCATCTACTTGCCAAGATCCACACCCTCTTTTCTAAAATTGGCATGAATATGCTGCTCGCTGACGTAAATCTCAAGGTGGATAAAGACCTTTTTATAAAATCAGCTTTCCATATATTTCTGTATGAAAGAGAGTATATTTACCCGTGTACAAGTGTATGCACAAACATAGGACAATTGTCCAACATACATGACATGTGCGAGCAAGGTTCAGTTAGGTCCATGATGGGTCCACCATATTCACTGCTTAGGTGAATTGGTCAACATCTTGATATGTAAGCTGCAGAACTGGTTTGGGAATAGGCAAAATGCAGCATAGACTAACCCATTGAAAAACCTTTTAAATAGGATTGTAGATTGCATATAATATGGACAACAGACTCAACAAATTACAGTTCTAATACTCCCAAGTGCTACTCTAACTTACCAATCCAGCACCAGCATAATCACGTAGAAGAGCTGCATCTCCATAGCGCTCTTCCTGCACAGCTCTCTGCATCATGCTCCACAAATCAAAGAGAGATAGTGATAACTTATTGTCGTGAAGGCAAAAATTGAAAAACGAGACATAGATGAACCAACATACAAAATAAATGACACTTGGACAAAAAGCAACAGCAAAAAAAATTCCTACATTCAGGTGTGACATCGCTTTGGCAATTGTATCACTTGTAGCTGCAGCTGCAATTGCCACCTTAAGCCTGGCAGCATCCTCGTAATCCTCTCTATTGATAGCACTAGCTAGCTGAGACTGTGCAGATTAATTGGTGTCATCATTAGCAAGCATACCATGGTTAACCAAAATAGCCTTCAAAATTGCCACATAGACAGATAAAATGACTGACACAGCATAAATGATTGCAGAAATAATCAGCATGATGTTTAAATGCTGAAAGTCTCTGCTCTAATTGGGAAAATTTTACCAACTAAGTTATAATCCATCTTAAAATTACCATAAAAACATCCTTCGGAATCCCACAGCCATTTCAAGGACGACAAAGACAACATCTTCACTCAAATACAAGAGTGTATGGAAAAGTTTAGAAAAAGGAAAAACTTAAATCCCAGAAAAGTGTTGATTATATGGCAAAGTTCAAATGTTAGATCAAATATAGAATGTAAAAATTTATTTTGCTGCTTTAAGTATTCTCTAACCCCCAAGCCTTGAAGTTTTGGGGGATGAGATGACCTGTTAAAATTTACTTGACACCTAAAAGGATTATAATCAAGGTTAAATCAAAGACAACCCCCTCTGATGTTACTAAATGTTTGATGGTGTTGCAGTCTAGCTATGGCTGATTGCAGCTAACAGTTGCGTACTTCTAGCTCCAGGTTCTCAAAAATCAGGGGCCACACATGTCACAACCCAGTAGAGTAGTTAGGGATGTCCCATCCCAACATTATTTCCCACAGTAAGAAAAATAAAGTGTATTGAGGTATCATGGGCTTTGGAAATGCAGAAATGAGCTGTTGAGTAGATGACATGGTCTGTGGCTTTTATTAGTAACACAATAATAGCAGCCCATTCCTTCAACAAAACCTCAGTCACGAAATTCTATTTTTAAAGCTACACTCCCAGACAAATCAAGCAGCATAACATCAATGAAAGGGCCCCCAGTCAGCCAACATTATCTGCTGTCCCAACATTATTTCCCTTTGAAAGAAAAAGAAAGTGTATTTAGGCTTCAAGGACTTTTGAAATGCTGAAATGAGCTGCTGCTTAAATGACTTGGTTTGTGGCTTTTATTGGTCTACATGTACAAGATTATACGTAGTAACACAATGATAACAGCCCATGCATTTGGCAAAGTCTTGCTCACAAATATTGTACTTTTAAAGCTCCATTCCCGGACAAGTCAAGTGAATACCGTCAATCAAATCCCCCCCCCCCCAAAAAAAAAAACAGCTAACCTCTCAAGAACAAGTCATTACTTGTAAGCTTATAACATTAGTACAATGACTAAGAAAGCATTCCCCACTGACACTGAAAGCGTAAAAGCAGCTTAAAATGATGAATCCTAATCAATCATGGATAATCAACATACAGCCTAGAAAACCATGAAGCCTCCCAAAGTTGGATATGTTAAGATTTCATGATCCTGCCAATCAAGAGCAGTAAGCAGATGAAGAAAATCAGTGCTCCCCAAGGACGAAAACTTAAGGTTATAAAGATCTTCCGGAAAGAACCCTTGTAAGTCTGAAATGCAAGCTTCTCATTTAAAGTAGGATAATAGTGAAAAAGCATGAACGAGTAAGAGCATACATTTCAAGAGTATTCAGGTATAAGCATTTACAATTTGAATTAAATAATGGTAATCCAATCACCTACGTGCTAACAACCAAGACAATTTACTTCAATCAGTATTTATTCTTCTACTTTTCCACCTCAAATTTGTTTCGAATTCATAGTAATCCTCAGGGAGAAATTTTATTCTATTCTGTTGCACCCAAAAAGGATGCAAATAATCAAGATTTGAAAGAAGTCAGCCCGATGAACTAGGGACCTAACCTCAGGCTGCTCACCCAAGTCTTACTAATTTCTACTTTCAGATATTGGTAATAAAGAATCTCCCACACTTTACTATGCTAGCCACCACAAGGGTTCCATACCTACTAATATCTATAAGCCAGTGCTTTTAATGTTAAAATGTTTACAGAATCTATTGATCAAGCTACTATGGAGCTCCTTTAATGACAAGAAAATTCCACCAACAAAAGAAGATATCATCAACTATATTATTATTTGCTTAATATAAGCTTGACCCCAAAATTTTGTTTAATAAAAAGAAAACCATCAGTTATATTCCCCGCCCATACCGCATCTGCCTCTACAGCCAACCAGGCAATACAAAAAGCTAAATCAGTCAGCTAGTAAGCGATGCTTAAATCCAGTTCCTTTTCACACTCCACCATGGAAACTCACATTATCCCATTATGAACTGATCTTTTCCTTGTAATCACCCAAACACATCTGCATGCCACTCCTTTTACCGTATATCACATGCAGCCTCTAACTTGTCATACAAGTTGCAGCTCAACGTCCACTTATTTTACTGGTATTCCCACTTTGCCAACTACTCGGCGTAGGCTTCATATCCCACTCCCAGTGTCTTCTTTTTCCCATTCAGTCATGCCCTTCCTTTTTTGGATGAACTACAAGTCCAATACCTTATAGATATTTTACCTCTATTTAACCCGTTTCTAACTAGCAAATAGCACCATACAAACAAAATCGAACACGTACTGCAAATATCAACTATTTCGACCCAAAAAAAGGGTAAAATTTCACAGACGAACCTTGAGAACGGAAACAATCCGCTCTTGCTCATCAACATCACTGAAATGCTTTCTCCACCGCTCCCAATCCCAGTCTTCAAGCTCGACTCCACCATAATCTATACCTCCTTTCACCCCACTACCAACTCTCACATCCTGATTCCAGAATGAATTCACATAATCATCGAACCTCTTCATCGTTTTCCGAAACACGTCCTGAATCGCCGAGTCCCATCCCCGAACCAACGAGTCATCACCCTCGGACGGATTATCCGGAATGCCACTTTTGTTGCAGCGGCAGAGCACAGAATCAGAACGTGAAACCCTAGAGAGAGAATGATGGTGCGAGTTAAAGTTGGAGGAGGCGCGCTTTAGTCGAGATGACGACGAGAATACAGAGTTTGAGAAATTGAGCTTGTGCGGGTTCGGATCGGTTCTAGTCGACGGGGAAGGAAAAGTTGGCGGTGCTATCGACGCCATGTAAAATAATAATAACTAGAATCAGATAGCAAAGGTGAGGATGATAAGAACGACGTCGTTAGGTACAGAAGCTACTACAGCAATCGTACAAGCTTGTTGATGCTAGACGAGAGAAAAGGGGAAAAGAGGCTATCTGAAGACTGAAGGAGGAGAGGATTAAGCTGAACAGTGCACAGGAAGTAAAAGTGGATAAGGAATTTGTTTTCTTCGTCGTACGCACACGCGTGTATACAAAATATTGTTCAAATCATTTCTCACATCAAATAATTTAAATTATTTTGTCCCTTCACTTTTAAAATATTAATTTCACATTTCTCATTAATTAAAATCTACAAAATATGGTCCCAATTTAAGTTTTGATTATTTTTTAACCATGAATTCATGTAGGACTCATAGTGATCATTTTTTAGAAGCAAAAAGATTCGATACCATTTGCCGTTAAACTAATGATTCAGTGCATATTCAATTATTGTTCTAAAATAGTGAAATTTAACTCAAGCCCTAAAATGGTATGACTTGACTTAATCCATATTCATTTTTTCCTATAAACAAGTGAGATCTGACCTTTTTATACCTACAAAACAATTATATATGAGTCACGTGGCGATTTCAAATTTAAAGGTGATTCGAAATCTAGATTGTGACCAAAATTTGTCAATTTAAATTTAGAAGAGATATAAAATTAATATTTTAAAACTGAACGATGAATATAAAAAAATGAAAGATGAAAAAAATTCATTTGATGAAAGGTAAACGATTCTCTCTCTCTATATATATACAGACACGCTCTCTCTCGCAAGTGTTATTTCTTTTTTTTTATTTTTTTGGGATGGGTTTCCTTCCATCATTTGCTCATCTATTTCATTGTATTTTTTTTTTTTCAATTGAGGGGCCTAAATGTTCATGGTGGATGTTTCTGATTTGTCCAACATTGACTCGACCGCCGAATTGATTTTGTGGTCGAGCAAAATAGCATATTCCCAATCCAACGACCCCAAAATAGGTTCTGGCTATTATAATCCTTCTTATGCTGCTTGTCTACAAACAATTATATGAGGAAAAAAAATTATCTTCACTTCATTCGTCGGTTTTGTTCAGCAATTCTTTGTCATTTTCTATTTTTTGCCAACAATTACTTATCACTATATTTGCACATTTTTCATAAATAAAATGAATAACATGGGCAAACACAGATACTAGGTTATCAAATTCGAAGGGCTACCATCAAACATCCACGAGATTACTAATCAGAAGAGCCTAGGCTTATGTTTCCATACATTTTCTTACAAAAGTAAGCATGTTTTTGCAAATAAATCTAATCCCCACAGTAACTTCAAAAGCCTAGGCTTACAGAAGAGCCTAGGCTTATGATCAACAAAATTATGACTTGCTGACTGGAGTTTAAGATGTAACCGTTTGCAAAGACACCCGTCACTACCGCTCTATCTAGTTACACCTATGGTTCAAAGACTCGGCTGAGATCGTGACGACTCGGCGGCGGCGTCACCAGAACGGAACTTTTCGTTTTGATATCGGGACGAAATGAGTCCGAAATAATGAATCATCGAAAACTCGACCGAATTAACGAGAATTTGATCAAAACGTCTCCCAGACGGATAGAAACGGCCGAATCACCTCGAATTAGGATCCGGGGCTGGAATGGTTGTCAGAGCAACCGTTCTGGAAGGTGTAACACCATTTGCACACGGTGTAACATCATCTGTATAAGATGTAACAATAGAACAACAGTGAGTAATACTAGAATAACATTTTTGTGGATCCCACACGGCGTGAAAATTGAGTTACAAGAAGTGATTTGAGCCACACAAATTTTTTTGACCTAATCATGGCCGTGAACCTTGACAACCGTTCCAGCCCCTCCTCCCTCGAATCAATTCAAATTTTTATTATTTTTACTAAATTTTTATTATTTTTATTTATCATACTTTTTTACAATTTTTAAAATATTGAATATTTCAAAAATTTGTATCTCGCCGAAACCGTGACCAATATATGTGCCCGCTTTATAATGAAATGAAAACTCGGAGATTGGGTTCAACAACTTGAAACTCAGTACTCGACGATGAAATAAATAATTTAATGCCATGAACATGATCAGACACCAAGTTCCCGCATCTTGATGATATAATAAATGCACGATAGTTGGCAAAGACGAAGTGTTTGTTTACAGGGTGTAGGAATTTAGTTCAAAGCATACAACTAAAAGAAGGAAACAGTTCCCTCTCGCTGCACTTAAATTAAGATGCAATGTCACAATGTATTATGTGCTCCTACGCAGCAAGGGATCAGAAATGACTTGGGGCTCAAAATCTGGCTTCACATAACGAGCAAGTAAATAAGAATACATTTCATATCGAGCAGTCATACGGAATCCCCACTTGTCCTTCAGTTGTCTACACAAGTTCAGATCCAAGTCTGATACCATCAACCCATCCTTGTAGCGTGATAAAGAAGGCGTGCACGAAGCATCTGGAGCGGAAAAATGACTGGAACCATAAAAATGCCCGAAATCTGCATGCTGTGGCTTTCCATCTCCTGATGTGAACGGATTGGGGAAGACCTCAGTTCCAACACGATTAATTGAACCCACAAAGTAACTATTTGCTATTGCTGCATTACGAGCCTGCAAAACAATGGCATCAACACGAGTTATAGAAGGCCATAATAAAATTCTTGCCAATCAGCCAACTAAGAACCATGAGGAACAAAATTTCTCCAGGTACTACTTGCACAGATACCGGAAATCCGATCCTCAATTGTGTCAGATGTCTTGAACACTAGTCAATGTTGGTAAGAACTTTCCATTTTGCAGGATAACTGAAAACAGAGAAATTATTCTGCAGGAGAAAACAATTCACATTTTAGAATTTCAAAAACATTGGTACCTCAATAGGCCACATAGGTTCACTGAGTTCACCCACAGTAGCAGATGGATTGAAGACAATCTCTGCCCCATTTAAGCCAAAAGCTAACCAATTAAGTGGATGGTGCCTTCCATAACAAATATTAACAGCAATCTTTCCATAAGCTGTCTCAAAAACAGGATGTCCAGTGTTTCCTTCCATGTAATATGTACTCTCGTTGAAGTCCCCTACTCTAGGTATATGATTCTGCAAATACAGTTAAAAGGCATTTCAGAATCGAGCACATGTAACAAGACTAAGAGACTAAGAAGAAGAAATGCTAGTTGATTCCAACACTTACCTTCCGATGCTTCCCAATTATGTTACCATGATTTCCAATTATCACAGCAGTGTTCCAAAGGGTCTCCCCATGTTTTATATCCCTCTCAAGAATTGGATTTATTATGACCATGTTATATTTACGCGCAAATTCCTGAAGAAATTCTGTTGATTCCCCATCAATTGGCTCAGCAAATTCACACCATCTCTTCTCACGAGTACAAAAGGCAAAGGGCATCATCCATGCCTCCTAAAGAAGTCATGCTTGTTGGTTATACTTGAAACGCCGAAGGTTGTAGACAAGAAACTGCTAATCTAGAATAACTAGACTCACTTGCAAACATATTATGTTAACCCCTGAAGCACCTGCAGCCTCAATGATGGGTGTCAATTTCTGAAAAATAGCCCTCTTCTGGTCTGAGAAGGGTGCAGTTGTCGGTAGAGCAATACCATTTTGAACAAGACCAACCCTTACTAATCGAGGTCCTCTGAGTGACTCCTTGTCAGCACGAAAAGAATATGCCTGCATCAAGCAATAGAAAGTTTAAGCTTTGTACGTTTCTGCAGTCGCAAGCTGACGAATCATTTCATGCATCATGGAAAAAAGAAAAATTTTATCCTTAGCCAAGCAATTCGCCATGAGAGTTATGAAAATCAATCTGACTACACAAAGTGGAGAATTGAGAAAGTGAATTTTCAGTTTCATTTATTTCCAACATACCCTTGGGGAAGAATTTGTGCACATACTATGTGTCCTGGGTCATATTTGCTGCACTTCTTTTTGCAGCTTTATTAAAAAGTAAGTATTAAAATCAGTTCAACATCACAACAACAAGAAGTTCAAAACATCATCAGATAAACATCTAAGGAGAAAAAGCAAAAATGTGTTACTTCTCAGATCCAATCCCCAAAAAGGTTGAGCTTTCACAAAATCTATGGCTGAGTTAGCATAACGAGTAGTCTCTCTCGTATGAGCATCCTGGATTACAATCTCAACTCGAATAAGAATCCCAGAGGGGAAAAATACAGATGTCTCCTACATTACCCCTAATATGGATGAAAAACCCCACTTTTGAGAAGCTAAAGCAACACTCAAAAAACACAAAACAGTAAAGAAACTTAAGGGTAGCAAGTATAAATCTAGATAAAATCAACATCAGACCCTATAAACGATTACCTGGAGATCAAAATCATGTTTTGAAGAAAGAGCTCTTGCAGGCTCCGGGAGAGCAATGGTTTCAAGTGATTTTCCACAATTCAGACCGAGAAGCAGACGACTCACCTCCTATAACATACAGATATGAGATCAACATAGCATCCCATCATATAAAGTAGAAAAAAGATAGAATAAAACAGTAGGCTGCAAATCTGATGTGATGCGTGTATTACATCTCTAAGACCGAGCCTTTACAAAGTTCTATACACAGATTATTGCTGATATGATTACTGATATGAAAAAACATTAGCTATTAGAATGTGACAATTGGAAAGACCCATTTAGCAAGCTTAGTGAAGAAGATCCTATCCACCAAAGGTCAGCGTTGGATACTAAAATTGCGAAAAAAAAAGAACCTATAACACAAACCTATTCGATTAAAAAGCGCCACATGATTAAAAAAATTATAAACTACATCCAGACCTATTCGATCAAAAACACCATCTGATTAAAAATCTAAACTATATCCAGACTACTCTTTCAGCTTGGTCAAATCATTTCGAACAGAATCCAGCGGGCTTTAATAGAAAAGATTATAATCAGCAACTTAGTAAACAGATTAATAAGTATCCAATCTCAATAAACGGGGGTTAAAATTTGCTAAAGAAAAAGAAAATGGCGGTGAAATTGAAATTGTGCTGACTTGAGTAGGGCAAACGGGGAGACGAAGTTGATGCAAGCAAAACTGGTGGTTACCTGGAAAAGCGGAGGGCTAAGGGACTCCTGGAGGAGGTGATGGAGGG